GAGCAAAGCCCTTCATCACCTCCGGGAATGGTCTAGAATCATTCTCAGGTTTGGGAGGAGCACCAATCCACACAGGGGCAGAAAGCTTGCTTCCTTGTGTAGTCGATATGCTCTCTAATCACAAATCAGATGTCTTCTCCTCTACCCTCGCTGTTGATAAGTTTTGCTAGTGTTTTGTTAGCATCTCTAGGAATGTGCAGTTACAGTTTGCACAAAATAGAGCCGCTCTCTTAACCAGCTCACCGCAGTTTTTGTAATTAACAATGTGTTTGTATTGGGAGGGAGACTCGATCTGTTTATCTTCAGAGAGAGCGCTGCCCTTTATATTATCACCAAACCTTTCCTAGGCAGAAAAGAACACGAAAGTTAGGATCATAAAGAAAGCCTTGTAGGGAAAGTGTAGAGCATTTCCTTTGTAATGTGTGTGTGTGGAGGGGGTCTAAAGGTTTAGAGGTGAGTGGGTGCCTTACAACTGCCTGGAACTCTTGGGGAGATGGATGGGAATCCGTGTGTGCTTTGGGGCAGGAAGGATAGGGTGCAGACAATTCTAGAAGCTGTAGGTCAAACCCCAGGAGATAGGGGCTTCTGTAGTCTGGGACAATGGTCGGAGAGTGAAAAGCTGAGCGTGTGTATGAATGGGAGCGTAGAGAGTAGTCCTCAGAGGGTGGAAGTAGATTCCAGTTAAGGTCAATTCTAGAAACCAGGACTACGCAGGTGCAGGAGCAACAGAGTTGGCCAGGAGGCTCAGGACAGGGAGTTCAGGAAGGCGCTAGCCAAAGGGGAAAGCCATATGAGAGTAGACCCCTCGTGTCGTGTCTGCCAGTGGCCCCTCCTTCTTAAGGCAGAAGTGAGGGCCTCTTACAGTGTGGCTCACGCTCACCTCAGCCCCTTGAAGGTGATGGTTGGGGGGACTCTCACAGCCTGGCCAGGGGGTCAGTCTTCCCAGCCCCAGCACAAACAATAGCGGACCGGTTTCTAATGGACCGCTTGGAAGCCATGGCGGCCCTGCAATGCATCTCCAGATCTCTCTCTACACCATCGTCTCATAACCCAAGGACCAGATTTTGCAGTTTTTGTCCAGGGTCTGATAGCTTATCTTTGGAATGATATTGTTCAGGGTCTTTCCCCTCACCCACATCCCTGCAAGTTAACTCCAGTAAACTCGGGGTTCACCAAGGCCAACCGCCGTCCATCCATCGTGGCTTCCTTATCTGGGGTTAGACACACAAGAGAAGGCTTGGGGGCTTTAAGTGTGAGTACTGGGGTGAGATTGGTCCATCAAGACCAGGCCATCAACTTCCTGTGCGGCCCTGGCCTCTCTAAGGGAGACACAAGTCCCGTGCCCTCCTTTGTAATAGCAAAGTCCCACTGAGACACTTTACTGACCAGTGCTCGGGCACCCGTGGCTGCCATTCCTCTTATCAGTGACCTTATGGAATTGTCTACGTGTGGAAATAGTGAGCCCCTGTGTAGAGACTGCATTTCGTTATCTTCAGAGATCACAGCGCAATTCTCACCCAGTATGGCTTCCGGGCCCAAGACAGACATTGCTGGAACTGAGCCCTCACTCAGAGGAGGGTGTGAGCAAGCGCGAGCATGGCTGTGCGGGTTGTGTGTTGATTTTGACACAGTTTTCTCCAGACCCGAGAGACCAGATGTGGGCTCCAGTGAGATCCCAGAAGAAATGGGGCCGATGGGAGAAAGTTTCATACTGAACACAGAAGAGGCTAAGCTGGTGATATTCCCTCCTTTTAAATAGTGAGGCATAAGTGGCCAACACAGCGTCAGTCAGCACCGAAGCTCATTATCTCCTCTCATCACACAGAGAGCTGAAACGCCTCGTAATCATGCCTTTCCATTTTGCCACAGTAAAACATCCTCCAGGAGGCTGGGAATCTGCTTAGTGTGTTCACCACGTCACAGGCAGGTCAGCAGGGGAAGCCAGATGGGGACAGGGAGAGCAGTTGGAACAGACTAGGAAAGGGACATGCGAGGGTTAAAGCATGGATCGCGATCTGTAGATCAGATCACATTGCCCAGATTTCATCTGTCCTGCACAGCATGTGCCTCGCTGTGGCTTTTCAGTTCCCTTCCTGCCGGCCCTGTCTGTGCATCTGGTCTGTGTGTCTTGTGTTCACAATTGGAATACAGCACAGTGTGTGGGGAGCCAGTTCTCAGCAGTACAACGGTACATGCACTTGGAAGCACAGGGCCAGTGGGGTGGGGGTGTGGCCGCCAAGGCTGCTTTCAGAGGATCACGCTAGCTAGCCGTGAAAAGCCACAGACATCAGCAACCATCACATGTCAAGGAACACCTCCCCCGACCGCAGGCCAGCTGTGCAGCAGGACACCAGCACCACAGGCTGTGAGTGGGAGACATCTGCCGACCTCCTGTCCCTCAGCTCTACCTGCCTTGGAAGTTTTGATTTGGTTTGTTTTTGTTTTCTGAGACAGAGTTTCTCTGTGTAGCCCTGTCTGTCCCAGAACTCACAGAGACCCACCTGCCTCTGCCTCCCAAGTGCTGGGATTAAAGGTGTGCGCCACCACCCAGCCACCATGGAATGTTCTTACACTCACTCACATTTAGAGAGCAATTACCTGGTCTTAGAAGGCCTCTCAATGTGTTCCCAACACTCATAATCAAGGGCTCTCCTTGGGTCAAGAAGGTTCTGGGTTCATGGGATGTTGGCCTTAGGTGGGCTCCTCCCAAATCTCAGTAACGTATGCCAGATCACCTCTTACCTCCACCTGGACATGGTTGTGTGGGGAAAGATTCCGTAAGGTCACCGATAGCCTGCACACATTGCTTCAGCTCTCCTCAGACTGTTTGCTTTTGTAACCTACAGGAAGAGCCAAGTGGTGAGATTTCCCCAAATGCTGCAGGCTGTTGGGGTGTTACCTGGGAAGAAGGTTAACTGCTGCAGTAACTCCTATATTCTGCAAATCGTGAAGGAGGAAACAGAAGATGATAGCGTGGCCTTGCCACTTAACATTCGCTCCTTGTTTACAGACAGCAGCAGCAATCCCTACACACGGTGGTTACTCACTGGAAAACCCAGCCTCTGGGGCCAGTGTGCCACCGCCCTGCTTCGTTCTGGGTGTGGGCAAACATCACGGACACCTGAGCGTCACAATTTGCAGATACATTCAGGAGAGCAGGCTCTGGCTTGCAGCCTCCAGCAGTGCCAACAGGAGACACTGTCTGGTGCTGGGAACCATCCGGGCCGGGGTTTGCCAACTGCCAGACACGAGGCACCTTCTCCAGCCTAGTGTCACCTGTGGCTTTTCACACTCTGGTACTTGTTTTCCACGGAGCTCTTACTGTTAAATGACTCATATGAGATCCCAGGGTTTCAGCTGACTAGCCCACAAAAGCAAATGGGTCTTAGGTGTGTAGATATTCTACTGCGGAGGCAAAATGCACTGGGTGCTGTGAACAGAGACTCAGGGCCAGAGAGGTGCTCAGAGGGATATAGATGCTTGCCCCCAAGCCCGACAATCTGACGTCCGCTATGGACATCCAAAAAGGCTACCCTATCATTCCCCAGGCCCAGTAGCCTTCTGTGAATGAATTCCTGCCTTATCCAACAGGCTGATGACCCCATAGTGGCTGTTGACGGTGAGGGCAGCTAAGACGTTGCCATCTGTCTGTTTCCCTCACACCTAAGTAAAAGTCTGGGGAAGCCACATCTGTCATAAAGTGCTGGGCCCCATGAGTCAGGGGCCAGAAAGCCTTGTGTGTCCCTTCCTAAAGAGGCTTCTGTTTTCTCTGCATAGACCCCTGCCGGTCTTCCTGATTCTCGGACACCAGCGGGACACTCTGGCCTCCTTCCCTTTCATTCATGACTCCTGCCCTTTCAGTTTTCATCTAGAAACCTCATGGTCTTCATGGCACAGTCAAGCTCACCCAGAAAGTGTGCCAACAACAGCAGCTAACACCTGCCCAGCAGGGTGCGTAGTAATAGACACTAGATGTCCGCTCTCTGGCTTATCTAAAGTGTTTTCGGTCACGAGGCCCCGGGAAAACTCACTTAGCCGCGTCTTTCACATGAGAAGTAAAGGTTAGTAACTTATGCGTGAAAGCAATACTGACCTCCCCCAGCCAGGAGCATCTCACATCAAAACCCCACGCCGGCACAGGTGGTTTGCATTGTCCTTCAGACAGCAAATGATGACCTTGGAGAACTCTGAGGACTCACGTGATATGTGATGTGTAATAGGCAGGGCACCCAACCCATGACACACATGACGTTCTACCTTTCGCTCTAAAGGGGCGCCTCACCACAGGCCACAGCGGACCATCGCTCCCTCCACAGGCTGCCTTTCCTGAACCGTGTGAGCTTCCTGATGAATAAACAAACAGGAGCGTTTCTATAATCTTCTATAATTTGGAATCTATGGAGCAAACAGGCCTTTGGTGCACACTAATGAAGGATGTAGACAGCAGTCCTCAGACCTGCTTCGCTCATCCAGACTTCTAATTTCTCACACACAGGTTTTAGTGGACATAAGCAAACTGAAAATTGTGTGAGTTGATAGGAATCAAGAAGAAAATAAAGAGCCTGGGAAGGTGGCATAGTTCTTGCTAACTAAGCCTGAGGACTTGAGTTCAGATCCCCAGTGCTCCACACATCTGTAACATCAGAGATAGGGAGGCAGGGACAAACAGATCCCCAAGGCTGGTAAGCTCCAGGCTCAGTGAGAGACCCTGACTCATAAAAAAAAGCAAGCAAGCAAGCAAACAAGCAAACAAACAAACAAACAAAAAACCCAGGTAAGAGCCAGGGGGAAGGCACCTGGCCTCAACCTCTGCTCTCCACACATGCACACGTGTTCATACACACAGAAACACAGAGAAGCAAGTGTGGCGTGTAACTCAGTAGCCGGGCTCTCCCAGCATTATCTAGGTCTATTCTCCAGCCTCACAGAGGAAGATGAAGAAAAGAGTCGTCAAAGAGCCCCAAACCTCACTCCCGGGGTTCAAATGCCCCCCATGAACCTTACAGGATCAGAGTTGTCAACAGCGACTTTATTGAGCATCTACAAGGCACACAGCATTGTACAAAGTTCGAAGCAGCCGAACCCTCTGTCACAGTGCCCTTCATTCCCTAGCCTTGCAGGGTGTCTGGCTGTTCTCAGGAAGCAAACACCCAGACATCCGAGCATAGACTGCACCAGCGTTTCCCCAGCACGCTGGAAACTCCCTGTAGGTGGAACGCTCCATCTCAACACGCTTGCTGCACAGGTGGACGCCTGAAGCCAAGGATGCTCCGCTTCAGTTCCCTCCATTCCCTCCTTCGATTGTGCGGGAAAGGCACAAAGCCAGAGGACATGGCTGTCACCAACTAGAACACCAGCTTTTGAATGACAGAGTTGGCCAATGTCCCCAAGGGCCCGAGGAAGGGATGACGCCACAGCAAAGTCTCCGAGCTGAAGACAGGGCTCAGGTTCCTAAACTCCCTCCCCTCAGAGCCTCAAGTAACTGCTGGGAAGGGGCCAGCAGCCCAGAGCTCTGGTAGGACGTCAAAGACAAATGCAGCTGGTTCAACCAGAAACTCTACATTGAAGGGATATATTTTTGTCTTATTATTCCTTCCCATATTTAAAAACAAAAAGCCACACAAAATAAATAACCAGACATCTGAATACAGGGAGGGAGGATTTCCAAGTGGTTCCCGTAAAGGGGTTCGGTGCCATGGGCGCCCTGCTAGGGCCTCTCGGCATAAAATATTCACCGAAAGGAAAAGAGGGTCACAAGAGATGCAGTTTCACATGGGGAGCTGGCATGTCATCAACCGAGTCAAACCCAGTGGATGACACAGGACCTGTCTTTTATAAGTGATAAAAGCGTACTCGCACGCAGGGAGGCACGCCCAGTGTGATGGGTGTCGTAGTTTGTCCCGCAGGGTCAAGTTCACAGCCTCCTTGTGCCTCTGGGACCTACACACACAAAGGCTTGGCCTGACTGCTTCTGTGGTGACTTCTGGGTCCCTTTTCTGGCCCATCAGTGCCAACAGAAGCCCTCACACTCCCATTGACACAGAGAAAAAGTCCTGGCAAACCCTGCTACGAGTCTTGATGAACCAAGCGAGGGCTGGTCCGCGCTCCAGGCTCAGATCATGGCCACATGGAAGTTTGCAGGCTGCTCGCTCTCTGGTGCAGTTCAGATCGCCTTCTGCAAACTTTTACTGCTGCACTCAGATTCTCACGTGCCAGCTCCCTTGGGACAGCTGATGTGCCCCATCCTTTGTAGACCCCTAGTCTTTACAGCTGACTCCCAGGAACTGGTACATACCCAAGTTAAGTCCACACTACGCCCTCTTCTTCACAGCCACTCTTCAGAACACTCAGGAAAAAGTGCTAGACAATCATTTCCACTGTGGGGATGGTCGGTTCCCTTTGTTACAATGTTTAGTGCGAGATTTAAAATGACAAGTGATTGATCAAAATTGGGACTAAGCTCTCAAATGTAACTTGCATTAATGAAGGACTTACACTTTTTTTTTTAGCCTCAAATATCCTATAAAAATAACGTCCTAAGAGATAATGATTCTTAAATATGTACATACATCTATTTCTTCCCAAGATGGCTAGAATATTTTTCACGCTGTCTGTTACCTAGATAGTTATAACATTCATTCGGGAGAGAAGCCAGAGTGCCTCGTGGTTTGGAGTACTCACTTGATGCAGTCGATGTTGCAAAATATGAAGTTTCATATTAGATTCACATGCAAATCTTTGTTTAAAGTTGTCAGCCAGATATTTAATGTAAGTTGGTCCAAGCCTCCCTAAGAACGCCCTGGAACATACAGTGCTCCTTAACACTGTCTCTTTTCCACTCTCTACACCCGGGGGGAGAGGGGGGCCTGACTTACCCTAATCAGGGTTGCATTCAAATTTTAGTATACCATATTTGGCATAAAATGCTCATTGTGACTCATCAGGACTCAACTTTGGGAGAAAATAAAAATCAAACAAACCATTGAGACCAGGCAAAGGTCAAAGTTGAGGCAGACGCTGCCTCCAGAGGCAGGGATTTCACCAGAGCACTCACCAGCACACAACACCACAGCCGGTTGGATGGGAGAGGAAGACAAAGAAATGGTAAGAGACGCTAAGAGACCTGACGACAGTGTCCAGATCGTCTGCCTGAATCCTCTAAGAGGAATGGGAGGCACAAGACCCATTCTCCATTCCTTATAACCTTTAATGTCACCCTCTCCCTCCTCCCTTTAGTTGTCATAACAAGCCTAGGTGAGCCCCGGGGTTTCACTCTGAGTCAGACACAGTGCATGGACGCTTGCGTGCGCAATCACAGGTGCGTGGTGGACACGGGACCCACCTCAACATTTTGCTTAGATCAAGTCTAAAGTGTGCCGAACTCCATTGCAGAAAAAGACAACCCACCCCATAGACAAACATAACACAGTAGCTGACCAAGAACAGATACCCACTATAAAAACAGAATATGCTCACTCTCTATGGAAAAGTAATGAAATTCACCAATGGACACCGCTAGGGTTTTGAGTCCTATAACTCCCCAGAATTGTCAAAAGTAACCTTGTAGCCAATCCGCTTGAAGACACTAAAAACAACCTGAAACAGGCCACCCATGGTGCCAAAAGCGGTGTCCAAGAGCAGGGAGACAGTGCCCCCCAGGCCCACAGCGATGTCCTTGCACACAATGGGAATGGCCCCCACGGTATACACAGGGAACATGGTAATATCCACAAGGACTCGGAGAGGGATGCTCAGAGCTCGACAGATAGTCTTCAGCAGGCAGCAGAGGATCCGGAGAAGGGCCCTGATAACTTTGGCCACGACCTTGAGCACTTTCCAGGGAATGCCCACCAACTCTTGTCCAATGGCTACGAAGTATGACACAGTGGCTGCTCCTAGACGGTATAGACCACACTCGATGCCATTTATCACCTGCTTGGCAACAAACCAAAGGAGATGGACTATACTCCTTAAGACTGCTATCACAAGGTAATAAATTAACTGGAAAAGTTTGATAAATGGGGTTAAAAGGAAACCAAGGACTTTCCCCAGAAAGCTGCCTCCTCCCTCTGGTGCTTCTGGGGACGGCGGGGCAGACCTCTGGCTTTGGGTACTGGCAAGGGGACTCATGCTCTCTTGAGACAGCAGAGACCGCTCCTCCTCTTGGACTTGGTTGACCACTTCCAGAATCTTCTTCATCTTCTCCGTGTCTTGCTCTGTCTCTCCACAGTTGTCCCGGAACAGCTGAGGCTTATGAGGAAGCAGCTGCTCAAGGTCCCTCACCATGACATCTTCTATGATGCCACTGTCCTGGGCATGCTTGGTGAAGCCCATGGCCCACCCTCCACCAAGGACGTCACAGCAGGCTGCCAGCCACACAAATTCTGGGACAGTCACTTTGTCCTTAAGTCTGTGGTCTGAGGGAACAGCGCCTGTGATGATATATAGGTCTTTGCCATCGCCACAGTGCGGGATCAAGGCTCGCTCCATGAGGCTGTTGAGATTCATGTGCCATCGTTCCCGGAAAGACTGGGTCATTGGAACTGAATTTGTGAGTGGAAATGTGGGCGCCTGAGGGTCAGTACTAAGGAGGAATGGGTACAGCTGTCCAATTTCATAGTTAGAATCAATGTAGTCTGCATTCAAGGCCTGCTTGCTTCCTAGATTGTGCACGGAGGTAAGGGCGTCAGTCTCTTCAATTACCTCCTCAAGGTTGCTGCTGGGGTCATCAATCTGAAAGAGAGGCAAGGCTGAGATGCGTTCCTGCTCTCAGTACCTGACCCACATGCCAAAGCTCCAGGGGGATCCCACCCCCACCATGCCCAACCCTTGAGTCTCACCACAAGGTTCTTACACACACACACACACACACACACACACGTGCACGTGAGCGCACACACACACGCGTACACATACACGCACCCACACGCACCCACACATGTACCCACGCACACACGCACACACACGCACGCACACGCACCCACACATACACCCATGCACACACGCACACACACCCACACACACCCACACGCACCCATGCATGCACGCATGCATGCACACATGCACCCACGCACGCACACACGCACCCATGCACACACCTATGCGCACACACGCATCCATGCACACACACATGCGCACACACACATCCATGCACACATGCACCCACGCACACACCCACGCACACACACACAAACCCACACACGCACGCACACACACCCACACGCACCCACACGCACCCATGCATGCACGCATGCATGCACACATGCACCCACGCACGCACACACGCACCCACACACACGCACCCATGCACACACACGCATCCATGCACACACACTTGCACCCACGCACACACACAAACCCACACACGCATGCACACACACGTGCAAACACAAGCACACACACACGTGCAAACACAAGCACACACACGTGCACACACAAGCACCCACACACGCATACTTCTCCCCAGCACTCTCCAGTCAGCATTGGGGCAGAGTGGCCATGCTTTCTGCTTCTGGGCAAAGCATTATATTCTATTTGGCCATTGAGCCACAAACCAACATATGGAGTCCAGCAGCGTCCACTCGGTGTCTGCTGTGGAGCCCTGTGACTGTGGCAGCTGGGCGGCCAGCTTGCAGTTCCGAGTGAGTCAGAGCAGTCCTGGTTTCTTCCCAGGGCCAGGGTGCGTGTGTCCTTTACTCTCTTTGTTCTTCACCCTCCTCTGCCGCTCCTGTCCCTCTTTGGCCATCATTGTCATCGCCTAAGGACCCCGCTACTCTGGCCACGTCCTCGGCCTGCAGTCCATCCCTGGGGGTGGGGGGCTGCATTGAAGACACTTTATAGCACACAGTGACCAGAGGCCATGTCCAGACCTCCCCCAGAGGCAAAGGCCCTCCCCCAGCGTCAGGGCAGACAAAGCACCCTAGTGGATAAGCACGGCAAAGCATCTTAAAGCATGTGGCCCTGCAGCCAGCCCCAGAGATCCTGGCTCTGCTGTGTCTTGATCTCCTGATTGGGCAGTGAAGCTATCGTTTCCTGGGGTATATATTTCACCTGTAAGAAAGTGGAGACAGAGTCCTTGCAAAATGAATGAGCTCCTCATCTTCCTCCTACCAGGGATGGCCTGTGGGGAGCATCTAGAGGCATTGCTTCTTAGGCTAGGGGAAGATGGATGGAGGGGCACGTCTCCAGCCTACTTGACCCTCAGCATCACCTGTCCTGTGCACTCACGTCTGAAGGCCTACCCTGTGAAAGGCCTCAGCAGAGTCAGGCCAACACAGCTTGATCCCATTGGGAAGGCAACAAAACCCTCTGGCCTTGGTTGTACTAGAGGTTTGAGGATGATTTAGGGAGTTAGCTACAATATTAGGCTGTCAGCAAGGAGAGATTTGTTTTGGTTTGTGGGTAAGGGAGATACAGGGACCGGAAATAGAAGGACCTTTCAACTGTCCGGGAATCAAGGAACCAGTGCTGATTATATATGTTTCGTTCTAAAGTGTCTTGAATGTTTGTTAGAGTGGGTAGTTTGGGGCTTTTAAGCAAAATTATGATTTTTTTAATATTCATGTATTTTTATTTTGTGTGTGTGGGTTTTTGTCTGTATGTATCTATGCGCACCGTGTGCATGCCTGGTGCACTGCGAATCCAGAAGAGGGCGTCAGATGCCCTGACGCTGGGGGAGGGTCTTTGGCTCTGGGGGAGGTCTGGACATGGCCTCTGGTCACTGTGTGCTATAAAGTGTCTTCAATGAGGGCTGCCCCCAGGGATGGACTGCAGGCCGAGGACGTGGCCAGAGTAGCGGGGTCCTTAGGCGATGACAATGATGGCCAAAGAGGGACAGGAGCGGCAGAGGAGGGTGAAGAACAAAGAGAGTAAAGGACACACGCACCCTGGCCCTGGGAAGAAACCAGGACTGCTCTGACTCACTCGGAACTGCAAGCTGGCCGCCCAGCTGCCACAGTCACAGGGCTCCACAGCAGACACCGAGTGGACGCTGCTGGACTCCATATGTTGGTTTGTGGCTCAATGGCCAAATAGAATATAATGCTTTGCCCAGAAGCAGAAAAGCATGGCCACTCTGCCCCAATGCTGACTGGAGAGTGCTGGAGAGAAGTATGTTTTGAACTATAGTTTACAGAAGGGGAAACTAAACTACAGATAGATGAGGTATGTTTTCCATCGGCTCATCGTCAATGGCAAGACGAGGCTATGAACTGAGATCGGCCCTCTCATTCGGTAAAGCCCATCCTCAACCAGTAAGCCACACAATCTCCTAGACTCTGTTCTTAATGGACATAGCTGCGTCCGTATCTCTGTCACGCTACCCACAGTCCCCCTTTCTGCGTGTCACAGAATACGGGAGGCATTTTCAGACCGCAGAGAGGTGAACACCTGAGCCTGAAGTGTTTGGGGTCCTGGATGCTGAGACAAGGCAAAGGATGCTTCACACCTCTCCCTCCTTGGCCAAGCAAAGAGGTGCAAGCATTCATCAGCGTAGGCAGGGAGCAAGGGCTAGGGCAGCTTCCATCCGGCTGTTTCCTGCAGAAAGTGGCCAGGGGGGCTGGCTCACTGTGGTCTGTTGTGTCCGCGCTGCACCTGGCTGACCCTTTTGCTCTGTGCACCCATGGAGCTGGCACAGAGCATCAAGCGTCCATGCAAAGCAGACTTCCTGTACTAAGGTGACACAATCATAACCAGCAGCCTCCTCCACTCCAGCACCACAGTCATGCTAAACAGTAAAGGATCCTGAGTTACCAAGGTAACCCAGATAAACCTCAGGGCACCTCACCTTCCCGAGAAGCCTGTTCCCAGTGGAGGAAAGGATGGGAACTCAGGGGCAGCTGGAATGGAGACCCCTCAAGGATCTGGGAATTGCGTTATACCCTGGCACTGCGGGGAAGACAAACAGTCCCAAGAGGACTGTTTGTGCTCTGTGCGTTTGAGACTCATCACACCCCAGGAGTATGGGACCCCGTGGCCACATTTGACCTGTCACATACTTCACGTCATGACCACAGCTCACATACGACCATTCTCGGCCTCCCTAGCCACCTGTGGCCCCGTTAATGTAGGACTGTACCTCTGCCTGTTATCTGATGTGGTTTGAATGTGAAGCATCTCCCACCAGCTCACATGCGTGAACACTTAGTTCCCACCTGGTGCCACTGTTGGGACCTGGGGGTGTAATGCCTCAGTGGAGGACGTGGGTGGCTGCGGTGTGCCATGGGATTTTATAGTCATCTCATTTCCTGTCTCATCTCTGCACCCTGACCCACCCCCAGCAAATTCTCCCTCCACAGCTGAGACCCTACTGTGCCTCACCTTCCCCAACGGCATGGACCCAAAATAAATCCTTCTCAGTCGCTGTTGGTCCACTAAGGCTTCTGATTTCCCACTTTAATACTGAAGAGGCAGGTCTCACTGAGACAAGGCTACAGAAGGGCTGCCCCCACTCTGTCCGGTCAGCAGTGACTAGTGGAAGAGAGCCGAACATTGCCCTTCCCGCCTGGTGGGCCAGAGTGCTCGCCACTGTGGGCTCTGTTTGTCTGACAGGAAGCCTCAGAACAATACACTACTATATCCATATTAATGTGGATGCTACTAGCCAAAATTAAAACAGAAAATTCTAGAGAAATCTCCCAAGTTTTATCTCATCCAGTATTAAACTGATGGGAAAAAAAAAAAAAAAAAAAAAGACAAAGACTTTCCAATGTGGAGGTCTTCACGGGGATCCCAGCTGGACATCAGCCCGAGCCCATTTGTCCTTCCTCCCTGCCGGCCTCCTTTCCACATTATACGCCCCCCTCTCCATCTGGTGCAGAGCTAGCGTCCAATCCAGTGGCTTTCTTTGGGCTATATCTAGCTCAGAGTTTTCTTTTCATTTCACTTTATTTCCCTAGAAATTTGTTTCACCCCTCTCTTCCATGCGCTTTTTAGCTCTCTTCCACGCGCTTGCTTGAAAGTTCCCTCCAGGACGCTGGGCTTCGCTCGGGTGTTTTGGTTTGCTTGTTTAGTGTGTGCTGGGGTGGAATTTAGGTCCTAGAGCTTACAGGGTAAGCGCTCGACACGGGGTTGCTCCCGCAGCCCCTGCTTTGCCAATGGGCTTTCCCGTGGTGCGTAGCATCCGCTGAGGAGTGGGGGGGGGGGGGTTGTGGTGAGTTGTGCAATCAACACTAATTGCCTTTGACAGGACTTCTGGGACCCTGGACTAGCTTTGGAAGGATTTCCTCAGTCCAGGGTTTCTCACGGAGAAAACCAAGCTGTGGCTGAGGAGGAAGCTCTGGCCTCTCCCCCTGCAGGGGCCAGCTCCGCCCTCCTGCCGCCCCCCTTCCATGTCCCAGGCATGTTAAAGCCCAGTGTCAACGGTACCTGGGCATCCCTTCCAACACCTTTCACGTATTTTTGACACCCAAGAACTTTTTTTTTTTTTTTTGCTCAAATATGAATTTAAATTTTTAAAAAATTACACATTTTACCCACTGTTTACATGTGGCCGCAGTGGGACAATTCCTTAGGTGCTCAGGTCTGAATGGCTCTCTTCCTGTTTTGCTGGACTTGCATCATCCCCAAATGTATCCGAGCTGGGTGTGGTGGCGCACACCTTTGATCCCAGCACTCGGGAGGCAGAGGGAGGCAGAGGCAGGCAGATCTCTCTGAGTTCGAGGCCAGCCTGATCTACAGAGTTAGTTCCAGGACAGCCAGGGCTACACAGAGAGACCCTATCTCACAAAGGAGTG